ATATAATTTATTTATTAGGGCTGCGGAAATTAACGATTAATTCCTCGATTAATCGTTAATTTTTTTTATTTTAAAATGATTTTGATCGGTACTCACCTCCTCCACCGTCTTCCGTGAGTTCCGTCGGAGATCCGGTGACGTCACGGACATCGACGTCACTGGACTCCTTCCCCAAGTGGCTCAGTCGGTTTACCAAGGGAAGGGAGGGGGGAGGAGTCCGGACTAATTTGACTGCTGTACCAATACATGGATTGGCGTCTTTCTTTTTCTTTGTGTCACCTATTTAGGGTACACAGTGAGTGATCTGGCTCAGTCTGATAATCAATAAGACAACCTTTGGACAGGAGCTTAACAGTAAAGGGTGTATAAGCATACACTCGATGCTATAAATTATTGGCCACATTTATCTTTACATGGCTAGCATCAATATGTCTCAAAACGGAGAAGCACCTGTATCTAATTTTACTATAAGTGTGAATTTGTTCAAAAGTTTGTCTTATCTGTTTTCTCTAGTCACCTTCCAGGACAGCATTAGAGAGATAGGCTCCTCCCACCGGAACAGGAAACACATCACCCACACTTAAAATAAAAAGGAGCACAAGCCTAGCACGCTTCAGTTATTTTGTGTTTCCTCAGGCCGAGCAGGACATCGTTGTGATGACATGGTGATCAGTTTATGTGTATTAGTTAAGTTAAATGTGTATTGGTATTGAGTTATGTTTGAGTGCGTTATGCTGTGTGACCTGGTTAGGGAAAGACTATCAGCACCATCCCTCGTTATCTCCCATTGTTCTCTGAGGGAGCTCAGAACAATGACATTCTGGCCAGGCTTCTGCTATGGCTGTCTGGAGTTCGTTAGCAGGTGGACACCTGTGGTGTTGAGCAGACCGATGGTCTGGGAGGAGGGGAGGTGGATGTGATGGGATTATTTTCTGATCTGATCACTTGCTGTATATAAGTTTGTGCAGTTGCTCAATAAACCAGAGTTTGTTTACCCTACACTCAAGCCTTGGCTAGTGACTGGGGAAACTGGGAGCTACAGATCAGCGGGTTCCAATATCTCCTCAGCAAGGAAGAAGACAGCGGCGGACATACTCATCCTGAGTACGGGGGTCCGTCACAATCGTAACGTTTGTTATTTTTCCTAGGCCTTCGTGCTAGTGAGCAGGGGCTTCCCCCGACATGGAGTACAGCAGAGGGTCGGTGGACCTGGGGTATCCATGAAGGGGGGCTTCCGGGACAGCCCCAACTGTCCAGAAAAGTAATTGCCTATAGTTTACCGGCATAAGTGTATGCAGGGCAACTACGCTTCTTTGGTGTGGCGGACTCAGGGGAGTTCCCCCAGGGCGAAAAACCTCTGCTTCAAGCAGCTGTGTATGGCGTGTCTCCTACCTGCAGCTTCGTGGGGCTACAGCGGCATCCTCCGTGTCTCCGGGCGGCCGTTGAATGTGCAGTGCGGCGGCCCTCGTGGAGACGGGGAAATGATACTCCGGCGGACGTGCTGTAAGGGCGGAAGTGGCGCTCGTCGCGCACTTCCGGCGCGGGGCGTCTGACGTCACTTCCGGGTACGAGGGTCATGGGACCTGGCGTTTCCAAGCTGCAGCAACCGATCGGTCCACGCTACAGATGGCCAACATAGCTGAAGCAGTGGGTCGCAAGGCCCTTGCGGTGCCCACACACGCAAGGGGGGGCACCAATGGCAGGGCACAGGAGCTGGAGGGGCCAGGGGGCCCAGCGGGAGACTCTACTACCATGATGACATCATTTGATCTGAGGATCCTGGTCCCGGCAGCTCTAAGTTAAGAGAGGGGGAGTTCCCCATTCCTTTTACCGGTTATTTCTCAGTGTTTGGGGGCATGAGAAATGGGGTTGACACACGTTGGAAGATTGTTGTTTTTTAACATAGCTTTGTCGTTTTTGTTTTGCAGAAAACAACTGCAGCAAATCGATCTGGCTATAAGAAATGTGCACAATGCTGTGTAAAGTTTTCCTCCACATCCACAAAAAAACAAAACCCTGTGCCAGTCTTGCATTGGAAAACTGGTCAAGGCTGAATCTTCCAGCATGTTTAAAAAGATTCCTTGCGAGAAGAAAGGATGTCAGCCTTTCAGTCATTCTGCACGGTGATACAGGATGCAGATATGACTGGTAGCCATGCGGTGGCAGTTCCTTCATGTACTGGGCCGCACGTTCCCCTTCAAGCGGCCTCACGGCCGAGTAGTGTATCTGAGAGGGCTGCTACCGTGTCGGATTCTTCCTCTAAAGGTGGATCCTGGTGCTAGCAGCTCTGAGGTGGACAGGGGTTTGGCCCCCCATGCCTATTCTTTGTCTGTCAGTGTTTGGAGACATGAGGGACTGGTTGACACCTTTTCAAGTTCTGGTGTTCATTGGGCTACGTTTTTGTGTGTTTTGCAGAAACAAACCCTCTGAAGGGACTTTGTCTTCTATCTTCCTCTATGTATGAGGTGGTATGAGTACTTACCTGGGTGTTCAACAAAGGCGCTGGTTTGATGTTTGGGAAACCAAGGCCTCTGAAAGAAGAATGCTCATCAGTCAGCACACATGGCAGTGATGGGCAGCCTGCAACATTAAATATCCCTCTTCCAAAAAAACCACTGTGCCAATCCTGTGTAGGGAAGCCAGTGGTGGATGAGTCGTCAGGCATGTTTTAAAGCCTGATAGACTGTGGGAGGAAAGAGATGATGTCGACTCTTCAGTCATTTTACACTGTAATGCAGGTTGTAGAAATGATTGGGAGCCAGTCTCTTGATCAGGGACCTTCTGGTTCAGAGAATGCAGGGAAGAATGCATGTGCCGTACTGTGGGTAGGGCACAGTGGGGGGACAGGAACTCCTGGGAGGTGTAGCGATCTTTGAATTTGAGGAGTGATGCATATTCCTATGCGGGCCCAATATAACAGAGTTTCAGCTTTAGAGAGAGCTTCATTGGTTCATGGGGTGGTTATGTATCTCAATATCGGGGTATACCTTGTTTTCGATACTACTATACGGCCTCTAATTAGAATCAAGTTGCATCCTCAGTGCAAACATCGTTGGCCCAGGGGTGAGTTAGGTATATCGGTATTGAAATATAATGCTATATGCCCTCTAAAAACACCCAATTTGACTTCTTTTCATTACTTATAAAATCTCAGTCCTGATTGATATCTGGTTGTGGGGTGTTTTTTATACTTTCTCCATTATGGCGTTAGCAGGAGCATCATCTGTCCGTGGGGCAGTTCTGAAGCTCGGTAGGATGTACGCCTTAAGTTTTGCCATTAGGTCTTTCTGGACCCCGTATACCATCCTCTGCTTCAGTGGAAGCATTTTTCTTTTTTCATAAGATGAGTTATGAATTTTGGTATCTGTGCATACTACGTGTATGAGTATACTAGACTGCCTCCAAAGCAACCAAATTTCTTTTTTTGTGGAAACATCTTTGGTTCATAGGGCAGTTGGGAATCTCAGTATTTCTGCATACCTTTGGTATTAGTGCTTACATACTGTGTCCGGAATAACCACTTTACTGCTTAATTACGTTTTTTCGTTTATTTTTTTTTTTTCTCTCATAAGGTAGTTATGAATTTGAACTTCAGTGTATGCGCATTCCATGTGTATGAGCACATCAGTCTGCCTCCAAAGCAACCAACTTTCCATTTTTGTGGAAATGTCTTTGGTTCTTAGGGCAGCCGTGAGTATCAGTATATGCGCATGCATTCATTTTTGGTGCTCATATACTGTACCTGGTATAACCTTTTTTGACTGCTTAAGGTAAGCATTTTTGATTCATAAGGTAGGTATGAATTTCAGGTTCTGTGCATACCATGGGTATGAGCACATTAGACTGCCTACAAGGCAACCAATTTTTGTGGCTCAAGAGGTGGTTATGGATGTCATCCGTGTTCCTTCTACCCGCAGTTGTACTGCTACACTTCAGGACCTTGACTCGATGCAGTAAGGCATCATGGTTGGGATGTGTTGAGGATCTCAGTATGGGAGACATCTGAGTTCTTTCGTATATCTAAACAAACCGTCTACACGGTAACTGATGACAGTTTCCATAAGGCGTTCTTGGTCGCTGTGTAGGTGTGAGGCTCAGTATTATCATCTGAGTTCATACTTTGTATAGTTATGTAACTATACTTTCTAC